CACATTTGCATACATTGGGGTGGTTGAAAAGGGGTGAATGTAGGATAATGTAGGTACCACGGAGTGTTTGGGATATATAACTCCGCATCTCGAACACACGCGTACTAAGGGTCTGTGGATATGTCAATCCGGAAAACGGAGGACCTAACAGCATGCTGAGGAAAAACATGAGTCCTATCAGCATTTGGATGTGGGTCGTTGACCTACCAGGATACCCAGCGGTTGACCTCGCTACCTAGCTGCGGACTGGTCCTTCGCGGGCTACATTACATGACAGCACCTGGTTGCGGCGGACCCAGCGTCCAGGAACTGACCAGTCCGAAAATACGAAAGGACCAGGTGGCAAGAAATGGTCGAATTCGACGTCTACCAGGACCCTGTCTATTTATAGCCCCTTAGCTGTTAAGGAGTGTCCATTAACCACCCCTTGAAGGCCCTGGTATAGAGTATCACTAAGTTTTATCAAAGTACTCCATGTGACTGTTCGACTTTTTGCCGATCCAGTGGTTTGAGGATGCACTATACACATATATGATCATATATGGAGTGTTTGGGTTTCTGCACGTGGATCACGTTTCTGCACCTGAGCTTTCTCTGGGTTTTTGATGGGTTTTGCTTCAGAAAAGCACCGAACAAAGCGCTGGGACGGTCACTGGGAGGTCACTGTGGCGCCCATTCGATGGAGGGTCTGTTACTTCGGTTGGCGCAGCGGTTCCGACGAAAAGACGGGACCCGAGAAGCAAGCAGGAGACCGACCGGTCTTGGGGCGGGTTCCGAAGATAGAAAAGGATACCTGGAATCCAAATGGGGGATCCATTGGATGTTCGTGAACATTTCTTGATATCCATCATCTCTCTATTCATCACCCAACGTTGGGTGGTTTTTCAATCGGGCGAATCCACTCATCGACTCTCTCGCACGGCGGGCCGCTTGCGTCGCTTCGAGAGGTCGGGGGTCCGAAGGAGTGACGTGACGATCTCGACGCCACGGGACGCTGCGGCGACCGTGGGGAGAAAAGGGACGCGGAAGCGGCGCGGGGATCAGAGCGACGCTGGGCGGATGAATCACCAGGTCTATTGGGATCAAACGCTATCTGCATGCGGAAAGCACTGCGTCACTGCATTGCGTCTGCATGTGTTTCAAGCTGTGCGTGTGCATCTGCATCTCGACTCCATGTTCTTTTTCTGCAGAAGGCAGGAATGTGGGAATGTCCTGGAGATCACCTGGAGGTGAAGTGTTAAAACATGTTCAAACTGTTGGCCCAGATCTTCCAACACATGAGTAACATTGGGAACAGGGTTTCGGGTTGATCACCTGGCTGGCTCTTTGATACTTTCGAGATCTCTGAAATCTTCATATTCTTGCTAGCTTCAGAACCACAATGGGGGTTTTCTGCTATACGTACTTCGCTCACTGCTCTGTTGTTTAAAACAACCCCACTACGTAGGTGTTTCCACAAGCAGACTCCTTCCGAAAGCGTGGAGAACCAAGTCTCCTCCGAAGCGTGGATCGCCCCAGCTGACCACGCGGTTGCCACCGCCGGTGCACCACACGGCGAAGGCCTGCTTGGTGGCGCTCACGTGCGCGCGCTGCACGATGGCTGTCACCGAGTCCTCAGGCGTTGCAAACACCAGACGCGAACCGAACTGTTCCGGAAAGGTGTGGCACGGTTGGCGGCATCGCGGTGTATCGTGTGAGCTGAAGGGAAGTGCCAGGTCTGCTCTGAAATTGATTGAAGATCGATCTTCAAAGACCCTAGCTAGACTCGATTGAAAGTTCCACTTTTGAGATGAACAACCCTGCAAACTCATCAGCGGAGCATAGAATTCGAGGGGTGCGGTGCTGATTAGTAAAGACAGTTCATATGGTGGTGTAGCGGCAGTAGTATACGGCAAGGACCTGTGATCATGCCGTCCATGTCTATCGCATGTAGTTTTCAAACTTATTGCTCTAATAAAGGCATTATATGATGGCATTATATTTCTATACATTAATATGTTGGGAATTGTTTGGAGATTCTGACTCGTTTTCACACCACAGTTGTCTAAATGTTTTTTAAAATGCTCAGTCTACGTCTCTATCTAGCTGTAAAACCTCTATAGACACCAGAAAGAGCAAGCGGACGCACAATAACATGGACAAACTCATGGAGGTTTGAATAGAATTGACAGTTTTCGCAGCAAGGGCAAGGGGACACAACAAAGGAAGTACATCTGGTCAAAAATATGTGTGTCTATGAATGATTCGATCCTTATTTCAAGCGGAGGTGCCCGTAACCCGTTCTGGAGCCTGTCCAACCCCTGCTATGGAGGGTCCAACCCCTGCCATGAAGGGCCCAAGGATTCTCTGGTAGTCTACAAACTCCTCCAAGCCATAGCAAGCCGACTCTGGTCACCTATACGCGGAAAGGTTCAAGCCCCAAACATATCAAACATACCGTGTGAACGGTGCGCTCTTGGACCTTCAGGCTTGACCTCCCCTAGCTCGGGCGTCTCCATCACGCAGCTTGGCGCTCTGTAGGGAATCTGCGGGATCCAACCTCGGATGCACGTCGAGCTTCACGGTGTGCGGATGTGTGCGCTGTGCGCATTGAGGGACACGTCCACGTCGAAATTCCTAGAACAACGTCACCTCCGACGTTCGACCGCATGCAAACCGACCGGAGGGACCATCGACCTGTCGCTGTCCGACGGATCTGAAGGCCGGGCCGAACGTCAACACGGCCTGTTCCGTGACCGCGGAAGCCCCCGTGACGCGGAACCAACACCCGTCAGGGACGAACGAATCGAACGAAATACGGAGCACGGCACGCACTCGTCTGTGGACAGAAATATGAGTCTAGCATTGGCATCATCCGAATGGCTCGGCCGAAAACGACCAATTTTGGGCCGAACCATGCTAGCAGCGCCGGGCAGCAATCGTCCATCCGGCGCCACGAACTTGAGAAAGCCACGGCCAATGGATTTTTGCGCAGCCAACTTGAGGTCCAGGATCCTTGGGGCGATTTGGGCAATTGCGGAGGGAGGGCAACTTTGACTTTAAGTCGCGTCGTAAGTGCCCACCATGAATTACGGACCAAGGAGGACTCAAACCTCCATCAGGATACTGACATCTGTTTGAGAAGCAGAATCGCAACGCCTTACCCAGTAGGCGACCGATCCTTTACATTGGGGAAGAAAATCAAGTTCAAAGGTGAAGAAACTCGCACTGTGGCTCGCTTGGCGCGTCCGAACGGTGAGTCCGTGGAGGATGTATATATGCCAACCTTGACCCCTGGCACCACCCCAATTGATCGGCAGTCCTATGGCACTTTCATGGGTCGTGTCTGGGATCGGCTATCTCCACCCGAGCAGCTTGGAGTGGACGGGCACGGTGACCGTCTCGCTGCGGCCGCTCGGCAGGACCACGTTGACGCTCAGTCGCTCGCCGCATCGGTCGGCCGACCGCACCCGCTCCACCGGCAGAGCGCCCGCGCTCCAGCGGCGCTGGGCGCTCCGCCGGGCGGAGCGATCGGAGCTGGTTCGGGTGGCCGCCATGGAGGCATGGGGGATCAAAATGGATCACGGAGGAGATCCTTGGGAGAGGGAAGAACAACTTGAAGACGGAGCAACCATCACAATCATCAAGCTAGCTGCCAAGCCGTTTGGGGATCGGCGACCTTCGGCTGTCGACGACATCGGCTTGGTGCCTTCGAATCAAGTTTGGGCGACCGAAAATCACGTACTTTCACACACGTGTGTTCAATGTTAGGATACCTGTGTGAATGACCCTGCAGGGCCTGGATATGTTGTGTTTATTGCAGCATTGTCCTTCTGACTCTCTGACTGTTAAGCGCATGTTCCTTCTGCTGATTCTTGATTCCCTTAGCCAAGCGAAGATCCGGCAAATCAATCAATTGAAGGCGTGCCTGTTAGTACAGTTTGGACATGCATGGGTTCATGTGGGGTGTACCCCCAGCCTGGGGTCATATAGGGCAGAAGTTTTGACAAATACCTAATCAGGTGCTCGTGCTGCATTGTCCCGTACCTTAATGCCATTGTAGCCACATAGTGCGAGAAGTGTCGCTATACATGCAGTATGTCTCTTCAGGTAAAACAGAAAGAGACTTTGGCAACCGTGCGGTTGCCCAAACTGAATATCGTGACGTAGTACAAGTGCCATCTCCAACTGGAGTAACCAATTCCAACTACGGACCATACTCTTGACATCTCTTGACAAATTGCCACACTATAGGTCAAAAGCTTTTGCAAAACACCAAAACCAAGCTGGCATCTTGGTGCATGGTCATTCTCCAAGACATGGTTCCAGATTGCTTTTAGCCCATCCAGTTCAACTGTTGATCAGTCAGAAGGAAAACCGGGCCGCGCAAACCCGCTGGGCCAGCTTTCTCGGTGAATCAAGTCTATGAGGAAGAGTATTGTACAACATCATAAATGGAGAATAGCTTTGCTGTAAATCATTTTTGTTTTGGATAGCCCCACGAGTCCTTTGTATAGTTAAGCAGTAAGTCTAAAATCATTAAAGAATGGTCTTCCCCGGTCAAAGCAAGGTCTTCTGCGTCTTCACATCCTCGGCTCAACTGCGTGTGGGGTCTTCCTGACCTACCCCGGTTTTGCCCCGGTTTTGCTGGAGACATCTTGCTGCTTGTCCCTCTCCTAAGCTATCCTTAAAACAAGGGACACACCACTATTGATTGAAGAAATCACAAGACATCGGACGCACTGCCCCAAAGTCTCAAGCACAGGGGTAGTAGTTCCGGAGCAATAAATCCTCCTTTATCATTTGCTCGGGACCTGTTTTGCGGGGTGTAAACGTTCATCTGTCTATGAGAAGTGGAGGGTGGAGGTCTTTTTCACACCCCTCTTACTTGTCACTTCGTCTAGGATGGAATCTGCATCACCCTGTAATCCACCAGCGAACTCCAAACGACGACGTCTCCGCACCACCACCGTCTCCGGGGAAGACCACCGGACGTCATCTACGTCAGCGGTCCGCGGGTCCTGTGCCACATCCTTGGGCAGGAGCGCCACTAGGTCATCCCGACGCTCCTCGCACCCAGAGAGGCCACCCAGAGAGGGAAGCAGGTATGAATATGTAGTAAAATGACGGGGGGGGGGCATTTTTTGCATGTGTCCGTTCGTGGCCTGAAGGGAAAAAAACAGGGTCGAACTGGGCCTCGATAGCTGTTGTCTTTGCGTGTGCTGGCTAGGAATGGGATGTTTGCCTTGCCCTTGTTGGAGCAATTGTATTCGCTTGCTACCCTCTCCAGCGCACTGACTGGCCATAGTTAAAGGAAGACTCTGGTTTGGCTGCTAAGCTAGTGTTGTTCTGTGGCTCAGTGCATCAAGGACCTGGCCTTCTGACCCACCTGGAAAACCCCAACTTGCCAGGACAGCATGCACAGCATTTGACTGAGCTCATGGTTGTCAATGAACATTTCTATACCAGGGCCTTCAAGGGGTGGTTAATGGACACTCCTTAACAGCTAAGGGGCTATAAATAGACACCCCTTGGAGGGTCCTGGTATGATTGTCTATGATTTTCTATGAACCTAACCACAGCTGCCTCTAAAGTATACATGCCAACATGCACACCGTTGCACACCCAAAGCTTCAAGACTGGCCTGCAGCAGTGGAATGGTCCGTCATTGACGATGCACAACTCTGACCGATGTATTTAGGCCTACAGTAGGCGGCCTGGCTTCCGGCTTGATGGCTATGGCATGCTATGGCTATATATTGATGCGCTACCATGCAGAGCTGCAAGTAGGGGACAAGGAAGACACCCACGCTTTCACCTGAGCTGACCCCCCTCAGTTGGCCTTAAACAAAGGGCTAACCTATGGCTATGGCCTATGGCTAACCTTCCACCAGTTGGATTGGAGTTGGGATTGCCTAACCCCACTAAAAGGTTAAAGTTCAAAGGCTATCCACTGGCTAGGTCACCCGGTAGAGAGTGTGGCTTCTTTTTTCTCAGCATCTTGAAATCTTTCCGCGCTTTTCACGGGCATGGAGAAGTTCGAATCGAATCACGGCACGGCAGTGACCACCACAAGTCTGAGCTCCGTAAACGTGTGATGCGCTGTATTGAGAGAGACTCACATCGATGCGGCGTTTTCTAAACTCCTGGAGCTTGCCGTCATTTGCGTGCGTTAAACAAGAGAATAGGGGACCTCCAACAACCCCCTGGAAGAAGGGGAAAATACACCAAAAACCATTGGCGGCGGGGGGGGGGTCCTCTTTTTTCTACGACACCCATTCTCGCAGCTCTCTGGATGAACACATCTGGGCAAGAACTGATCACCGACGCAGTCCGCCTATCGGATGTCCCACGCTTTGAGACGAGTATTCTTCTTGTACACAAATGCTAACCTTGGAAAATGCATCGAACATGCTTTCCTCTGGAGATCCTTTGAAGCAAATGGTTCGACCATATTCAAACAAAAGAAGTGTTGGAAACATCAACCTGGGAGTTGTCTTTGGAGAAGTTGGGTCAGCTCCAAGTGCTTGTCCAACGATTATATATATATATATTATATAGTTTAGTTCCCAACTCCCCAAAGAATTAATTCTAGCACGGTGTGCATGTTTATAGCATCTATCCGCCTAGAAGTGTGAGTATTTTTGTTGGGAACGTGTGAGTTGAGCAGGTCGATCTTCAGGTCGATCTTCGATTCTGGGTCAAGTCGCTACTTTCGGATGCTCACCTCTGATTTCGTGTCTGACTCATTGGTCACTGCCCGTCTTGACTGTCAGTCTCGAGTCAGTCTCGACGCCCTTGACTGTCTCAGTGCTGGGCAGATCGGTTCGGACAGGTGCTTTTTGCTCGGGTGCAACTGGACAAATGCAGTCGCCGCAGTCGCCACAGTACCTTGCGGATCGTCTCGGGGTCTGACGCCCCGGCGGTGTGGTCGGTGTCGGATGTCGGTGCTCAGCTGCTCCCATTTGTCGGGATGTCGGTGGTCGAAGGTGACCGGGTTCCTCAAAGGACGCTAACAGCTAATTAGTAGTTTGGTGGAATGCTCAGCTGCTCCCATGCAAAACTGGATCCCCCAAAGGACAAGGTGAATGTCGACAAGAAAAGTTGACACTTTGAAATCGGTTTGTTGCCGGGTCGCAGTTTGATCACATTCTTCTTCAAGAGCTGCTGCACTGATAGAAACACTCAGACTGACTTTAAACAATGAATTACATTACATCAAAGTGCATGTTTCTTCTGGGCTGCTGTTTGACAAAAAGTGCATATTAAATGAACTGTAGCAAACCAGTTCCTCCTGGATTCATTGAGAGCAAAAAAGTGTCCAGCACACGTGCTAAGAATGACCGGTTACGAAGAATGACAGGGGATTCCTTGGCACGCCCAAATGATTTGCTTGAATCATCTGCGCACCTGAAGGCCGATTGTCCCTCTTCAGGGCGCTTGATGGCGTTTGTATATTTAAATCTCATCTCTAATCTGTGTAACACAGCATCTCAACGTATGAAAGCTAAATGCGAGATCCACTATTATATAAATCGTTTGAGATGCCAAAAGCAGTATGCCACAACACAAGCATTGCGTCAGGTTCTCTCAAAAGGCAACGTTTGCCACGAAGCTGCAATAACGTGGACAATTCATTGCCAGGTCCTATCTTAGTTAATTGTAGACTGTTGATTCAAAAAGACCACCTCGTAAGCCTCTAATTAACCTCGTTTTGAGGCAAAAAGACCACCTCCAATTGGGGGACGTTGATTGATCAACTGCATGTCCACTCTTCCAAGCACCACGCCGCTGGACCTCCCCGGTCGTCCGTCCTGAGGATCCGGCGCGCCTCGGTGTCAGGACGCGTCCACGGGGTTGGATAGGCGGCCAGCTTGCTCCAGCTCAATCTCTACCTGGAAAATGGGGGTCTTTCGGAAGAGTCGATAGATGATGAATGGTTGTGGTTGGATGATTGGAATGGTTGTGGTTGGATGATTGAGATGCCTTTGGGTGAGAAAAGGAAATGGATCAATCACGAGCTTGTCTTTCGACCAGGTACTCCAGGTAAACCATCTGCCGGAGTATGACCTGGTGAGTGTGACTCACCAATGTGGCTGGGGAGAGTAACCATTCAAAAAGACAAACAAGTGGGGTGACAGAGACATATACAGTAACTCATATAACATCAGATAGAGTATCTGAGTATCTACATGACAAGAGCGATCGAACGGATCCACAATCTAGTCATCCAGTCCGAAGGATTGCACTTGAGAAGGAGAATCATCGGTCGCAGATCATCTCCTACTGTACTGACCACAACTTGTTCAAATAACTGATCAAGAAGCGAATGCACTGGGCGGCCAGGGCGGCAAGGCCTTGTCCCCTGGCTGCAAGTAGACTGGCGGATCACGGACGTAGCCCACACCTTGCGACTCGCGCGTTGCGTCTGACTCGGCAGCTCTTTGCATACGCCGTCTTTCGGTTCAGAACCAACGCCTTCAAGAAGGATTTCTTTTGACCATTGCGGTTCAGCATCACTTCAAATCTCTTGAATGGGCAGTTGGAGGAACAATATGCGCAATATGGAGCAAAAAAAGGTTGAAATTGCAAGTGCCCACGTTCGTTGTAAGATCCTGACTTCAAACAAAGCGTCAGCAGCAGAATGATTATGGATTCTGGGTCAGGCTGTACCCGTGACTGCTTGTTTGGATGGTATCCTTCATAGTGCAAGTAAGGGTCGTGTATACGTTGGCTCCTTCCCGTCGAAATCGAAGGTAGTCAGGATGTCATGTTCCATGAAACCAGCAAACCTAGCACATGCCAACCAACAAAACCTCAACTTCTTCCAAGCACTTCTCAGGAAAACTCGTGAAATGCCAACGATCCACCCTGTCTGATGACAGGGCACCTGGTGGCGTGCCGGTGAGGATGATGGTGCCAGGGAGCAACGTGGTACCCTCCGACAAATAACCTCAGGTTGCTGCAGCTGCTAAGGCTCTCGATGGATCAGGTCGATCTAAGGGTACTTGGATGGATCCTTGGTTTAGTGGGGGTGCTTGGTGCTTGGAACCCCCAGCGAACATCGGGAACGGAAGTGTCGAAGCATCGGTCAGAAGTGAGTGGGAGGTCTGTGGGAAGTGTCAGGGTGGGTCTTACCCCACACCTGGCTGCCGCGGGGCATGCGGAGGTTCTTGGAGGCTGAGATCCCCACAACCGGATCTCCGCTCCGGGACACCCCACCGAGAATGAACAATACCACCTGGGAGGTCCGGTTTGGGGCTTTGGGTTTGGACCCAGGCTACTTGTGAACCTCCAAGTGGAAATCATGTACTAAAAATGACAGGAACCCCACACCATCAGCCAAATCGGCTGCCGTGATCTGTCTGGGTCCTGGGAGCACCAAATTGACCACAAGCAACGGACAGCAACGGAGTAGAACAGTGCAGCTATTTGGGCTCCAAAGCTCTCAAAAAGCACCCTAACTCGCACTCTTCTCAACATCACAGTGATTCATGAGTCTTCTCAACATCGAGGTGATGTCACCTGATGTCACAGATCTGAAGTCTCCAATTCTTCCAAGGGGCTCAGGATCTGCCCCAGCTGAAACTCCATGTCAGAGGTGTTCCTCGCATCAACAAGCGGCTAACTCGTCCACTCAACAAGTAAGCGGCTAACGTGCTCCGTTTTGGATTCACTGTGGCCAGTTGCTATGTAATACAGCACTGGGGAGCCGAAGACCAGGATAGCCTTACTCGTGTCCGGAGTCTTTCTGCCTTGCAGCTATCCTAATTATATATATATATTATATATAGTGTTGAAGTACATTGAAGTTCAAGAAAAAGAAAGGTGCCTCGTCGCTCATCCTCATGTCATCATCATCATCATGTCATGTTCCAAGACCTACCTCTTCGCCTCTTCGTCCCCTGAGTTCGGTGCCCATCTTGCATTGCGGTGCCGTTGACCCAACTTCGGACCTCCCGTCCGGGCCGTGTGCGGTGCCGTGGCAGCGACCGGTGCGGCGGCGACCGGGTTGACCGGGGCTGGCTTTTTCCTTTTTCGACATCCGAATTCAGAAGGTATAGGGACG